AAGAAGACGCCGTGCTTCAAGTGGACACGTCATTCGTTCTGCTCTTCATTCTGAACGATTTCGCAACGAAACACATATAGCGTGTCATAACCCGAAGTCTGTCCTCTAGCAACTTCGCTCCTACTCATGACTATTCACCTTCTTTGCATTCGTTTTGGTATACAAGAAAGTTGTTTCATCACCGCTGAAATGCATATAGGGCTTCGGTTGTTTTGGTTAGCAATTAGTGGGGTAATATGATCAGAGGTAATGCGAATCAAGGATTTTTTAACTTTCGAATATTTTAAGTAATTGTTTTAGGTGCAAGATGAGTTGAAAATTCTGCGAGGTAAAGTGGTAAGACCACCGATTGGACAAGGAAAGCGAGCTTTGCTGAGAGGCGCGAAGAAGTGAATATTCCATTCTCGTCAGATTACATAAATAGATCGTAGTGATGTGTATATTGCCATTGAGTTGATGAATAAATTGTTCAGTCTTATGTTGTGGGCTCATTAATACAGTGTTGCATGTACTTTACCTCTTCTGTGCTACGAAACTATCTGTTTTACATTGGCTTCTGGGCAAATGAAGAACTGCATCAGAAGTGATAACTTCCTCCACGAGTGGTTTTGAGAGCGCGGTCGTCTGCTCCACACTATGAAGAGAACAGCCGAAGGGAAGGTGAAAGATCGAGACGTCGGTAAGCGCAGAATTGCAATATTGAATTTATTTGTCGGTTTGCGTTCTCGAATTTGGTAACAAGGGGGGAACACTATATGTATTCCATTACTTTTTGAGTTTACTTTCAACCGCGGAGTTGGAGGTTAGAATCGATCATTGTTCATCTGTTTGCACCAGTGAAGGTCATAGCTGATTTGTGAAGGGGTCCTACCGGGGTGGGTTAAAGTCGAAGATCTTCCGTGGAAGTTGTGCTAGCTGGATGTGCAGGATTAGGTCGCGTTAGGTTAACGTAGCAGTTTCTTTTCGGAAGTGTGTGTTGGATTTTTTCGGAGTTTAGGGATTTTAGGATTTACCGGTTTTTTTTTCTGTAAAATTTCTATAAAACCGGTGATATTGCGAGACAGCTCAAGACTCTGCGATTTTCTTTGTGTTATTTCTTCGGCGTCATTGTCTAATTTCCTGAATATTTCGGCTTGAATGGAGTAGGACCGGTGGCGACCAATGGGAGGCGGTATCATGGTTGGCCAGATTTTCGTGAGACGGCTCTGATTCTTTCATTATTCCGGCAGAGAAACAAGACAGTTGATTCGAGACACCGCATCCATTCATAATTGTATTTCTCTGGCTATGAAGTGTGCACTGTATTCGAAAGTACGACCGTTGAGCGATGTCCATCCGGTCATTTGGTGCGCCCTTAACGGCTCTACCAAAGTTTATCTTTCGTCTTCTTTTTTGCAGATATGTTCGGTCAACCGAAGGAAAATGTAGGAACTTGGGAAGGAAAGCATGCCGATGAAATCCTTATTTTCACTCACAAAGATTGTGAACCTCGTGCAAAGGTGGCCGCTTTTGATATGGGTAGGAACAGCTTACGAGGTCTCAGTTGAATTTTCATATTCTTCGATCATTGCTCTTTTTACAGATGGTACATTAATCACGACGAAGTCTGGTAAGGTATTTCCCGTGGACAATTCCGACTGGAGGATAATTTATGACAAGGTTGCGCCACATTTGAAGAAACTACATAACGAAGAAAACTTCAAGATTGTCATCTTCACAAATCAGAAAGGCATTAAGGTAATTAACTTCTGTCTGCTACGCAAAATTGTGCTGTTCCTTGCAGAATTCTATGACAGCGCTCACAACGTTCTAGAGAATGTTTCAAAAAGACGTCATTGACTGTATATTCTGTTCTAAACCTTTCTGAGCAGACGTTCACGATCTGAGTATGGCTCACTAGGACAAAAACTTGACTTTTTTGCTGGTCAGCGCGAGATTTTTTGCTGTGGGAACCCTATATCTACCGTGATCGGTGGTGAACCTGGGGTTCCCACAGCGAAAAACTTTTGCGCTGTGAAAAGCAGGAAAGTCGCTTTCTGGCCTTGCGAACCACATCCTTACAGGCTCATTTCTCAGTATTCTCCGATCAGGCGAGACATTCAGGATTTTACAGAGACGTCAGCATTGAAGTTGTTAATTCCTCAGTCCCTTGGTATTGATCACAGTATATTCGTGACTTCTTTTGCCATTTGGAGGAGCACTCGCCTTCGGTCACAGCATTCTTACTGAGCTACTGCAAGATCGTATTACCGCGTGCACGCGGCTCCAATACTATCATACCTTAAAGGAATCTTCCACGGAAAAAGCTCCGCCTCCATTACCACAGAAAAACGATACCTTAGGCCCCTAGCCTCATGAGCATAGCAAAAAGAACGGAACATAAGCGTTAGTTTCGATAATACTAATCCTACACACAAGACAAAATGATCACTCTTTCCGTGGAAGATTCCTTTAAGGTATCGTTTTCTGTGGTAATGAGGGCGGAGCTTTTTCCGTGGAAGATTCCTTTAATATTTTTGAAATGACGGTTGTCGGATACACTTGCGCCATCTATTTCATCGTTCAACTAGATTTTTTATCCCTCTCGCGTCCTAGTGGTACACATGTGACACATTACCGTACACATTTGCCACAAGTACCCAGTTAACTCAAGATCGATATCTAAGCCTTCATTTCATGTTTCAGGTGGGCAAGGTAGATAAAAATGGTTTCAAACGCAAAGTGGAAGCTATAGTTGCGAAGCTAGGAGTTCCAGCTCAGGTGCCATCGTTTGCTTCACCTCCTTTTTCGACCTGTCGAAGTGTCGTATTATAGGCATTTGTCGCGCTCGGCGAAGGACATTATCGAAAACCTTGTACCGGCATGTGGAAGGAGTTGGAGGAAGCGAATGGTGATATTGCTATCGATGTTGCCAAGTCGTTGTATGTGGGAGATGCAGCTGGTAGACATAAAACCAAGGTATATACACTTTGAGTGCCATCGTCGAATGTTGAATTCCGATTAGTATCGCATTAGAATTTTATAGACTCGCCCTAAAAAGGATCACTCGTGCGCCGACAGGTTCTTTGCCGCGAACGTTGGCCTCAAGTTCCAGACTCCGGAAGAGTTTTTCCTTGACCAAAGTACACCTGAGCCATGGGGACCACCTTCCTTTGATCCGACTGAGTTTTTCAGTATGAAAAAACCTCTCCTAGAACCAGAAGGTGAGTTCAAGAACTGATTCTTGAAATCTACGTAGTATGGACCATTACACACTTTTTATACGAAGGGTAGTCATGCGCATGAAACGATACGATTGGTCTTTAAAGGACGAATTCACGCTGGAAAGGCAACCCATTTCAAATTAACTTAGCGATGGTGAGTGGTACACTAAAGAAGGAAAAACCATGAGAAACGGCCCAGAACCCGAGAAATGGGACCCCTTCCTTGCCCGTTGATTTGAGCATTGATGCGACTCTCATCGCTGTGCCCTCTTCAACACTACGCTCTCTCACCTATCTAATCACTCGCCACGTATAGACCTGCGGCGAGTGATCAGATGATCGGTGGGCGTGCACTGGCCCACCGCGCCAAGATTGAGCCTTAATAGGTCGCCGAGGTCAACTCCTTCGGTGCCAATTGCGCTTCAGTCCGCACCCTTAGGAGGTCCGCGGGTCCCTCAACTAGGTGAATTACTTTACTAGGTGAATTGCTCCTTCTTCGACCTTCATTCTAATCGTGAATTCGTCCTTTAATGTTTGCTTGATATGACGCGATTTGGTGGAGGGCAAACTCTTGTAACATCGTATTGCACATCCTAGGTCCGATACAGAAAATTCAGGTCAGAAAGACAGACAGCCTTCATCTTTCAACTGTCGTATCATGATAACTGTTTTTGTAACTATAACTATACTACTGAATTTTACCTTTTTGGCTGTGTTAGTTGTTTTGCAAAAATACAGTCGATTGAGCGGTACACATTGAAGGGATTGATCATTACCGAGTCCTCTATTCTTCGTCCTTTGGTGATAAAACGCTGTATATCCAACTTTCTGCCCATGATAAAGGCTGTGATAATTCACTAGTATTCATCATTTTTAGTTTTCAGACACTCCTCTACCATCAGCTACAAAAGAGGTGCTTGTGATCGTTGGTTTTCCGGGATCAGGAAAGTCGACGTTTGCACGAAAACTTGAGTCTGAGCATAATTACATGGTAGTGAATCGTGACACTCTCGGTACTTGGCAAAAGTGTTGCGAATACGCTCGTGCCCATCTGAAATCTGGTAAGAGCGTTGTGGTAGACAATACCAATCCTAACAAGGAGTCAAGGTAAGGTAATTGCTCCTTCTTCCGCGAAAACCTCGAGCATTTTATTTGCTTCGCTTAGGAGCCGCTACATAGCATTAGCACGGGAAATGAAGGTGCCATGCCGATGCTTTGTTCTAACATGTGATATCCACCAAGCTGAACATAATGTGAAATTCCGTCTCCTGACGCAAAAGTCAAGCAATGAAGTCACAACAATGGTTCTTCGCATGTATGCGAATAAATACGAGGTGAGGTTGTTTGGAGTATCCCCGGAGCCAATGGGTTATCATTGTGCAGCTTCGGCTCCCTCATTCTGACATGGTCACTGAAAGGTTGGTGATGGCCGTAACAGGTGCCGCACAAAGAGAGCCATATTTTTTTGTTCGCTCACATTTGCCAGTAGGGCTCAGCAGCTCTTGTTCAGTCTTGAGCATTTCGGGCCTTCGAATCCGTGTCTGTATATACAGGGGGGGGCCAAAAAAAAAAGACATTTTGCCTCCACTTCCAGATGGATTTAAGCACATTTTACTCAACTCAGACCGAACGGTTCCAACTTATTATTAAAGAGTGCATTCCATTCTATAAGAAAATCTTCATAGTGGCCACGTACGTGGACGGCATCAGAAGAATTAGCCCTGGAAACATGGTGCACTGGTCGATCTCAATGGGGTCTTCGAAGGATCGTGTACCATAACGACCCTTACTGGAAAGCTAGTTCCGAGGGGATTTGCACAGTGGTAGCTAATGCCTCTAGAAAACTATCCAACATTAAATCGATTCACGAAATTGCGTAAGAGCTTCAGGCTGAAGCTCTTACGGTAGACCTCCTTGAGCCTGACGACGGTGACAGATGACGTCATATTCTGAAGACGGTGAGGGCAGTGAAGGAGGGCCTGCGTACACTTATAGAGGAACACTTAGGGAATACTCTGCTGAGGAACTCCCGTCAACGACAGCAATCTCTGCGAAGAAAAAAGAGCCGAAGTCCGACATAGGCAAAATGTCTTTTTTTTTTGCCCCCCCCCCCCTGTATTATTACCTTGGTACTCTTTGTGTCTGACTACCAGGTTTACATTACAGACCAAGCAACACAGCTGTCGTCTGAGTTCTGCTGTTACAAATAACTCACCTGAATAAAATGATGACGAGCGAAGTAGAATTAGGCAGATAGCAATAGAATACGAACTGCAAGCAATTAATTTCCTTGTCGATTGTCAACTGCCGCTTTCTCGTAGGCCGTCGTCAGTTGTGGTGTATAATTGCACCCGACGCTTTTCCGTTCTTTGAAGGGAGGGTATGTGTGTTGCGTATGTGTTTGTGTGTGTGTGTGTTTCTCTGTGTGCACGGAACCTCGGTGTGACCTGGAAAAATCACTTAAAGGCAAGAATCAGGATTAAATTGATGGGGTGATTCCTCAAATGTGAAAGTAGGGATGGGAGGTGGACCGCCAGTGGAGAAAAAAGGAAAAAAATCCTGAAATACACAGGAAATACGAGCATTTTGCTCTATGCTGTGGAGAAGTTCAAAAGGCAGGCAGGGAGATGAGAGATAATGTGAGCGCGGAGAGTGGTAGAGAAGTCCGAGAAGAGAGAGCATAGCAGATCAACGTGGCGACGCAGACAAGATATCGAACGGTGGGCGGACCATGTTAGGTTTGGTGGAGTCGTGCCGGTTAGAAGTCCATGGCGCCTAGGGTCTTAGTGAAGCGTTTCGATGCGAAAAGGTGGCCTCACCTTTGCAATTGCGTACCCAGTTTTTCTAGCCGTGGTAAGGGCTTCTTAGGTGGGTCTGAGCCCGAACTTTGCCTTCAAGAAACTCGGTCAAATTCTGAACAAGTGGCTCATGGGCCAAGATGTTTCAAGTAACTTCAGTTGAGCATAACCCCATCCTACTCTGTATTCGGTCCCGAAACTCCAGAGAATTACTCAAAAATAACTATTCAGTTTTTACTCAATCAATTAATAAGGTAGAGGGTCAAAGACTTTTTCAGTGTAGCTGCTGCGTGCTGGACATACCTACCTAGGTTAGACAGAGCTGTCTTCAGCTGTCGTTGGCCAATCACCTGCTGGATGCACATGTGTGAAGTAGTGTTCTCTCTTTGTTGGGAAAGACACAAGATGGGGGGAGGTGGAGAGGCACAAGCGCATGCTTCTTCTAACTTCCTTAAATTCTTCAACAAGCCTCATTTTCTGTCACTATCTCAGCGGTTAGCCGATGATTAGCTATCGGCAAATGCGAGCTTACGGTACTTCACTGGAGAAATTATCATTTGAGGGGTTGCGGTGTAGTTTTGATTTACACACGAATTTAATCATACCCTTCCATTGTTTTTGCGCTCGCTCGCTTCTCTTCTATAATCCAGCGTTTAGCCCCATTATTTTGCGACAGATGGGGAAGGTCCTGTCCTGTGGTAATATTTTTTGGCGATCAGCGACATCGTTAGTCCCGTAATAATGCTAACTTGCAACAAGATACACCGAGTGCTAATATCTGACATTCGTTTAGTTGGCTGCCACCCGGGTTTGAACGGAACAATAAAACAAAGAAGGAATTCGGAATTTGCACTTTCTCAATCCATTTCAAAAACAGCCAGACGCTGGCAGTGGGAAATGGGTAAATGTCCAAAGCCGCTTTGGATAAGCATCTTACATCATAGTCTTTGCTTCTCGTTTATACGCTGTGTTACGATGTTTGCCACTGTTCATGTTATTTCGCACTTTGTTTCTGCTACGGTTGTTTTGTTTGTGTTTTTTGTTCTTTTTTGAACCTACACACACAGAATTATCTGTGTAGTAAACAAATACAAACAAATGTGAGCAAGGTGGGGTTGGAGAGAGATGAAGACCGCTGCTGATGATGGGCGTCGATGATTTATCCGAAAATTCTGATTATGGTTCCAAAATTCTCCTTGAACAGCTGTGAGATGGTCCTCTACCAAAATCAAAGCTCTCTGGACGTACTGGAAGCCAGACAAAAGAGTGAGAAGATATTAGTGAAGAGAAAGGGGTCAAACGCTAAAGGTCAAATCTTTATGGACGGTAGGAATTCAAACTTAAAACTGGAAATTTTCTATGTAATGCTAGAAGATTCAGTGCACCAAAGCACTGTCACAGCTAATGCAAACTAATAGCGGCTGAGCAGGACAGAAACATTTGAAACGCTCTCGCTAGCTTCACAATGAATGATTCCATCGAGAGTGTCATCGCGTCGTTTTCCATCAACATAGCTGGCGTAATAAAATTTCGGTTATTGGAGCAATTTGATAGTTTTGTTTTGGTTAAGCTCCAGAAAAAAAAAACTTGCCAAATTTTTTCTTTCCAGAAGCCGGAGCTCTCAGAAGGATTTGACTCAGTGGCTCATGTGAATTTTGTGCCCAACTTTGACAACGAAGAGCACGAGAAGCTGTATAAACAGTTCCTGACAGAAAAATGACATTCACCCTATTTTTCAAAGAGGCTCCATTGATCAATTCTGAAGATTCCTGTTTTGATGATCTCTTATTAACTAACAGTCTCTCTCCCTATTAACTTTTACATAAATGCAAGTGGTCATCCTGTTTGATATTATTGCTCATGTTTCCAACCGGCTTCCTGAACATTGATAAGTTTTACCTACTTCGTAATCTTAGATGCTTTCTAAAAATTTCCCTCTAAGTTCATAGGCATTCATACCTCAACTCGTTTAACTCCCACTGAGGTGAGCACGTGTGGTGAATACATTGTGGTGATACTATTTATGCACATCACTGGTAGCGAAAGTAAAGATTATGTTCCCACATTTTCGCAAACGAATCTTTCAACATTGTTAACGAATAATTGTTTTCTAGGTCGGATGGAGCATTCGGAAAATTTTTAGTATAAAATATGCCTAATAAGTCAAGCATTGTACTTCCAATGGATTGTATTAGAGGCTCTGTGGAACCAATAGAAATTTAGAAAGGCAACCGAGTATTCAAACCACAGTTGAATCGATGAAATACGTTGTAAGGGAAGACCGTACCATTCTAGTCCGACTTTCAAGGCATTATTTTGATTAGATGTTTGTTTGGCAGACTACTAGAATATTGCCTACCATATTAGGAAGTGTGATGTTTTGCTCTATCACGAAGTGTAGCTGTTGCCCGAGCGACTACTGTTCCCCCTCTTTTTCAGAGCCTCTACACGACATGTCAACGACGAAGAATCCTACGGGCTTCTCTTCTTCTACACATTGGGGCAGAATGGGCAGACGGATCGGCCCGTGAAACTGGGGCTAGATTTCACCTGCATTTACGAAAAAGCGAGATAGCAAGTATATGAAAGCTGCGTAGGGGGATTGACGAGAGCTGCGAAGGTGGTGAGGGTAGAGATATTGAACGTTGGTAAAAATCAGCCTAAATATTTGGTAGGACCAAATATGCTTAGAACTGTTGGAAAAGGCCGCTACGGAATAAGCCATAGCTGATTCAGGGTTTCAAAAGCATGTTGTAGGTTCAAAAGCTGCGAAACGTCGATGAGTACTGCAAGCTAAAAAAGAACAGGTTCCGACTGTCTGGCCCTCACTCAGCTTCTTTCGTCAAAAAAGACTGACCCGTTTGCTGGTGTCGAGTGTTTGTGAGATGCAGGTATAGATGGCTTCTCGATCAACCTGTAATCTTTTCGGACGTGACTGTAGTAAGTCGATCGATAGGCCGTGACAAACTTCGCAAAGGAGAGCGACGTGGAGAGTGGTGCTGCGTGATTTAGCGTCGGTCCTGCAGCAGGCGCAGCTCTCGAGCACAAGCGGAGCTACGCTAGCTACGAGCGGACAGAATTCTTGCAAGGTGTTAAAATACCCCGAAACCTCGACACATGCACCCAGCATGGGCGAAACGGGCAGACTTCTCAGCGATGCACCTCAGCCGCCGACCGCAGAACGGACCCTGCAAAAATGAACTAGCTGGAGTGCCGAACTATGCAACAAACGTCTACTCACTAGACCTCTTACCTATTCACCGCCACTTTTTCAACCGTCTGGATGGCACCTTAGAGTAGGAAATGCTACGAAATTTAGCATGATAGTGAAGCGACCTTCGCCGACTGCCTCGCCTTTAGAACTCCCACTTTTTTAGCGGACGGATTCAGCAAACTTATTGGCTGGCAAGAAGAAAGTAGACTGTAATGACCCTTTGTTGAGATTGCTTATTTGAGCATTGGGGTTCAAAAAGGCAGTCGGCGTAGACAACCTAATAGTAGCGAGAGTTTTTTCTACGAATTAATGTGTAATTTCTTCACTTTCTTCACTTGTAATTTATGGGGGGAGGGATAAATTATTATAAAAAAGAAGCTTACGCTCATTAGCGCAATTTATTGCGCTTTTATCAAAAAGACGCGACATTGACCGGTCTCTTTCGAGTGGGCCATGCATATCATTTATATGCTGGCAATGCTAGCAATTCTGGAGGGTGCTATGTACGTGCATATTTCTTCTATATGGTTGTCGGAAAGTCTCTGCGCATTTGTCAACATTTTTCGGAGCTGTTTCTGTTTTTAGTACAGCCAACATTTGACAAATGACTACACAGCCGTGATCGTTCAAACATTGCCCTTCAGCAGGTGACTTCTGGTTGCCAATCGTTCAGAAAATCTGAGCCTTTGAGGCGAAAAGCTCGAGGAGGTTCTCTGCGAGTAAGTCAGGATTACCAGACTACCCATGTTTCGGTTGCTTTGACGGCGACAGGGTCTTGTTTTCATCTGTCTGTGCCGGGTCTGCTAAACATATCAGGTGGGTCAGATCGGCTCATAAGGAGCTTGGAGACTTTCCTGGAGCTTCTTCGTAATTCGTGGACGAGCGTTGCCGAGAGAAAGTGAAAGTTTCTCAGATTTTCCGGGCACCATGCCGGGAACCGATCCACTTGCCAACATTATTGTCACCAATAGCAGTGGACTTCGTTGGCAGCAGCTCTCCGTGAGCGAAACATTTGCAGCCTCATGAGCTTTCAAAGTTGCCTCCCAGGTTGCAGTTCTCAAATCGGCGTTGCAATCCTTTGTTCTACGCATCCGAGCCAGTCGTGCTTTCGCGTGTGGTTTACTGAGGATCCCACTTCTTGTTACCACCAACAAAGTATCGGGTCAAATGAGAGACAGGCGCTAAATCAAAATGTTCATGCAAAATCTGAAGGCATCTGAAGGCGGTTGTCACGCAGACCACAAAATCTCGTTTTGCCATAACTTCTCTTCTTTTCGAGACATTGTGTAAGGGCATCGTGTCTGATACACGCACAAAGAGGCTTTAGCAGCTCCGTGCACAGCACACAAGAAATCCTGTCTCAATCGACTTCAGAATTTACTTTTCATTAAAGTAGCCGGCCGTACCAGAACGTTTTGCGGTTTTTTTTTATCAGGTCCTAGAGTCTGGCGGTCCGGCCACAACCAGTGAGGCCTCCTGCTACATCGCTTTAATCACCGCAACTTCGGAGGCTTATAAAGCCAGATCATTGAACATTGACCTTGCAGAGAAAGACGTTCTCCTGAGCTTCCGGACACTGCAATGCTTCCGAAGAAATGCTCTGGAGCAGAGCACTCGACCTCCGCTCACATCATTTACGCGTAGAATGTTTCGCAAACAGATTCGAAAAGATTTTACAGATGAAGAAAAAAATCGGCCCAGACTTTGACACCTAAACATATCTGCAGTAAGCTGACTTGTGTAGGCGCTTGAGGTTCTGTGTTTTGGTATTGTTTTTTGTAAATTCCAGGACGCAATCGTGTGCAGGGCCATTTTGATCTGAGACTGTAGGAAGCTGCTGGCTTATGGTAAGTTCGCTATGACAAAACTAAACTGGAGACCAAACTGATTTTTGGTTTGGAGGCTCCGCATGTAGAATATGTATGTGTCTGCAGCATATTTGAGTGACAAACCATTTTTATTACATTTCAATTTTTTTCTCGGACGCGAAAGTCGTAACGCAAAAGCGCCACTACCGCCCACTATCCACGTTTCGATTCGAGCATTTGTCAGCAAGCCATATCTCGGGCCAACATGAATTGCTGGCGAAAGTAGAATAATGATTGAAAATACGTGTCTATTTTTCCGAAGAGAGTTCCGGTTGGTGGCGCATTTTAGAGGTATTGCTCAACGCTGACTTCACTGTACTCCTGTACAGGGGGGAGGAGTGGGCAGAAAAGGATTTTGCCCATGTCGAATTTCGGTCCTTTTTTCTTCGCAGAGAGTGCCGTCGTTGATTGAGAAGTTCCTTAGCAAGGTTTTCGTTAGCTGTTCCTCTATAAGTAGATGCAGGCCCTCCTTCACTGCCCTTACCGTCTTCAGAATATGACGTGTCACGGTCAGCAAGCTCATTGGTGGCTACAGTATTGGCTTAGCCTGGAAGCCTCTACATAACTATCCAGAGAATCGATTCAATTAGGATAGTTCACTGTGCAAATCCCCTCGGAACTAGCTTAAGTAGTTATGGTACACGATCCTTCGAAGACCCCATTGAGATCTCGACCAGTGCACCATGTTTCCAGGGCAAATTCTTCTGATGCCGTCCACGTAGGTGGCCACTATGAAGATTTTCTTATAGAATGAAATGCGCTCTTCAATAATAAGTTGGAACCATTCGGTCTGAATTGAGCAAAGTGTGCTTAAATCCATCTGAGTGTGGAGACAAAATGTCTTTTTTATTGCCCCCCCCCCTTGTGTTTCTAAAACGTTGTTGTGTTCCAATGAATAATGAGGTTTGAAAAATTCATCGTAGTTTCATGAGTAGACAATCGAAATTTTGATGCGTAGAAACTCAAATTTTGAGTGCGTAAGAAGGCAAATTCATGCAATTGAACTTCTGCAAAGGGAATGTGGCCCGTTTGAGAAAATAAAATTTGTCAACTAAGCATCATTACTAAGCAACAAAGGCACTGGGATCACATCACAGATCAATAGGAACCGAATGGGAAACAGTCATGACGGAGAAAAATAAGTGAGAGATGTTATCATCAAAGAGAAAGGCCAAGAGAAAACTAAGGTGGCGTAGAAGCATGCATAGCCAAATGCAGTGCTCACCAATAGATCAGATTATGCGACTAAAGAAGAAAGTTTTACTCAAATATGCGGTGTTGAGCTGCTACTACACTTAACGAACTAGGAGCCTATTTTTAAGCTGCAGGCTACTGTTGCAGACGACCCCAGCTGCTGACTAGAGACGAGATTAGTGTACACACGGTGTCATTTTTGGCAAAATCAAAATAAGAATGGGGGGGGGGGGGGCGGAAGAATGAGCATTTTGAAGAGTACTCAAAGCGTGAAAATCTACAATGAACAGCTACTATTAATGTAAGCATCTAGAGAAGGTACACTTGAGCAATTTCCTTTTTTTGCCCGAGGAAATGGGTCGAACCACCCCGGAACTCATCACTGCGAAAGCTGAGATCAACAAACGGCACAAACTATTGCACCGAGTGCCTATTGCGATAGCG